TGGAGTCGTCCAGGGTCAACCAGGCTTTGGTCAAACAAGCTATGGAGTCGTCCAGGGTCAACCAGGCTATGGACCTCCCGTTGAGCAAGTGGGTTATCCACACTACTCGCAACAGCCTCCTGTGATGTCGCCAGCCGGATGGGGTCCTCAACACCAGCCGACTCATACCGTGTACGTTTTTTTTTTTTGTGATGGTAGAGGTTGAAACAAAGGTTATGATTACGAAATGGTCAAGCTTGTTGCATTCTAGTTTTAGCTAAGAAGGATATTTGATAATTAGAAATATAAAATAACATTGCTTTAAAATCTTTTTTTAGTAATTTTGATTTTAAATTACATAAGTATATCTTAACATACATCATACTTTTAAAAAATTTGGTTTGAAAATAGAATTCATTTGTTGTTAAACATCCATTCATTTTAACGATTATTATTAACTTCGTTCGAACCTGGTGGCTCAATGGTAAGTCTGTGGGCTTATAACGCTAAAATTTAGGTTTGGATACCTACGGTTGGTAAAACACAAATAGACCATTCTGTAGCCTTGTTCTCAACAACAAACAAACAAGCAAAGTGGAACCTTCCTCATTTTTTGCTAACTATTATATACACTGTTTGAAACTGAAATTTTGCTTTGAATTTACCCAAAATAATTAATAAATGGTCAATGGAAAATATATATAACGTTTCGGCTATCTCACAATGTGATCTTCAGATAAAGCATAGACGTTTGTTGAATTTCGCGTAAAGCTACTCTAGAGCTACATACGCTGGTCGTTTCCAATTTTGAAGTAATAGACTAAAGGAAAGGAAATTAGTCAACAACAGCCGCCGTCAACTCTTGGGCTACTCTCTACCAACGTATAATGCGATTGACCATCACATTATAAGGCCCCACGGTTGAAAGGGCGAGCGGACGTGGCGGGGTTCGATTCCACGACCGTAGATTGCGATATGCGAGCTACCCAGGCTAAGTGTCGAAAAACATGTTCTTTAACTATACACCAAGTAAATACTCGTTATACTTGAACTCAAAGAGTTTGCAAATAACTCATCCTCTCGTGTTGGCCTATTAATTAGTCAGTTTGAGAAACGACAATAAGATTTTATTTTTTAACATTAAAGTCTTCCTGGATTTATTTTTACTTTCATGATTCATCTGAAGATGGCGTTTCACACATGTAAACGTTCTACTTGTTTGAAACTGTGATTTAATTTACATCAACTTTTCATACGTTCTTTTTTATTTTCTTTATACTAGCTGTTAATATAATTTGTTCAAAGCAAAAATTACATGTGCAGACGTTCTATTGAGTTTTTTAACCAGTTGTTAGTGTATTTTGTATGAAACTGAAATTCCACTATGTTCTAGAACTTTTTAAAATTTCTTCTTGTGTTTACTTCCTCGTTAACGGGCCAAGCGTGGCTTAGTAATTAGTGTCAGTCTGTGGATCCGCACTTTGGGCCGTGGGTGTTATATGAGAGACGGCCAAATCCCACTAATCGATTAGAGTAGCCCACGAGGGTAGTGTTGACTAGCAGCTGCCTTTCCTCTATTCTATCACTTCAAAATTAGGGCCAGCTAACGCAGATAACTTTAGGGTAGCTTTACGCGAAACTGAACAAACAAATCCTCGTAAGAGTTCATTTATTTCTTCCATTCTTTTGTCTTAGTTGTGCATTTTACAATTAGTGTAGTAAAACTTTTTTTCATAGAATTGTCATCAGCTGGTAACTGTCTCAGCAGTATTTGAGAAGTAGTTAATTGATTCCCCATTTCCTTTATTGTCGCACTGACGGATAAGAAAAACTAGTACGTAACACGCTCAGTAGATGGCAGGGATAACTAAATTTCAATTTAAATATTTGTTTGTAATTAAGCACAAAGCCACACAATAGGCTATCTGTGCTCTACCCGCTACGGGTATCGAAACCCGGTTTCTAGCGTTGTAAGTCCGCAGACATACCGCTGTGCCACTGGGGGGCAATTTAAAGAGTATAGATTGATTTCTTTACAGAACACAGCGATTATTTTTGTAAATATTTTATAAATATGTAGAAGGAGCGTAAGTATAATTAAGTGCAAGCGTGTGCTGTTGAACAAATTTATTGAAATGATTTTACTTTGTATTTATAATTAAGCTTTGTTTTTAAAATTTCATTGAAAACAAACGCAACTTATAATATAAATAATGCAATTGTTCGGTGTATGTTTTGTGTTACTTTGCACGACTTGTATATTCTTTTTTTTTGTTTGTGTGTGTGTGCAGAATTTTGACTGAAGAAAAACCCAGAGAAAACGATAGGATGGCGGAGTGCTTCTTATTGGGGTGCTGTTCGTCGATATTGTGTTGCTGTCTTCTAGACTCTGGACTTGAGTAGTTTTGTGTATGAGCTGAAGTCAGTGTCTTATTGTTTTTCAGACTGTTACTTTCATTGTTACCTGGATCCAAACATAACTCAATGATATGATGTTTGTCTCCTAAATGAATAACATTAGTGTTCCTTGACTCGAAGGACTGCAGTGTTTTTGTCAATAGCGTAATCTTGGGATCGGTTTCGGTACAGTGTTTTCATCTCCTAGGTACATGGCTTCATTATTAGCCCAGTTTAAGTACTTATTTCGGTCCTGTCGTATAGACTCATTTTAATCTGGACTCGGGAACTGTCGGTAACTAGAAAATGTTTAATAAACATCGCAAAGGATATTGCAAGTCTCATGAACTTATAGATTTCTCTGATTTGTATAATAATCTTTCGCTTTAATTAAAAAACTTTGTAAACGCAAAGTTCAACCTTTTGAGTAGTATTCAACATTAATACACATTTGTACTTATACTGACTTTTTGGATTCGGCTGAAACAACAAGTTTGAAGTCAAAATTAACAGTTTTGTAGACATTTTAGTGATGATTAATGTAATTGAATGTTAAAGTTACAATTGCCAACTTGGTGTTTACTGTGGAGAAAGAAATATCAACTTTATGTTGGTTTAAATAAATAATAATGGTGTTACTAATCTTGATTTGTAAACGGCTCGTATAAAATAATTAAAAATTGCACTTTACCAACCGTTAACAGTCGTTCGCGTAATTTGATAACATAAATACCGTCTCAACTACTATTGTGTGAGTCGTATCTCAACCGGCCTGACGATATATGATAATAGGCCTCATTGACACTGGATATAGCAGATAAGGTGTGTTTGACGTATTGTTATACGTTTTATTTTACTTTTACTCATAAGTTCTTAGAATTAAGTTTTGTATTATATTTTTAGATATATTTACTATTCATATTCTACTGGTTTTGGGGTGTTGTGTACAATTTTAAGCGGATTATAATTATTTTCGTGTTTGACCTAAGTGGGCGGTGTATGATTAGCCAATACTTAAATATACCAGATTGTAGTCCATTGCCATTGTACGAAATATACATAATAAAATTTAAAGAAATAAAATATTTGGTAGATGGTTTCGAACTCTGTTCGAAGTTGTGTTTGCTAATGACACTGTTAGCCAATCACGTTTGATATATTACGTGTAAATATGGAAAATGTTTTATTGAGAAATAAAGTTTGTTTTCACCGTTATCTTCTGTACTTTCAATAAAAATCGTTGTACTGTCACATTCAAACCAGGATTGGCATAAAAATTGACATTGTTTAGCGATTTAATCTTGTTTACCTTTTGTTCAGAACATTTGTAGGAAGAACAAAGCCAAAGATATTAAAAAATTGTGATCAATAAGATTTAGGGCAGTGCAAGACAAGTTTTGTGATGTAATCTGATTAAGTATGGATTTCTACCACTGATATGCCACTTAAGTAAGTGTTCTTATGCAACTTTATAACCATGTACACGTTCATTTGAAGTCGGTAAAAATTTGACAGCGTTACGCCCTTTGTCAGTAATGTTCTTCTCCAAAGTATACATATCATCACTGTCTACCTTGAACAAAATACCAACAAAAGAAAGGATTAACCAACATTTTCTCCATATATATAATCTCTCTCTAGGACACACCCAGTACGAGCTTTAGGAATATATTTTACGTCTCTATCATTTACCAGATACACTGGATCTGGTGAGGAACACCCGAGTTAGAAAACGAGGAGGCATTTCCCAAACACACAATGAAGAATGAAGTTGTAGTCTATGTTGGATATTTGAGGTCAACATACCCACTTTTAAAGTGAATAAAATATTCTGAAAACTCCAGTTTTCGACATTAAGATGTTGTTATCAACATTTTCTGGACATAATATATCGGTTTAGTTATCTGAGAATCTTGATGCCGGCACGGGGTACTGTTAAAATGTTCCACACTTTCAGCTGTGGGCTCGTTATAAGAGTAACAATCAATTATGCTATTCGATTAAGAGTATCCACTTCAGGTGGTTGGTGCTTCCAAAAGTTTACCTTTCCTCTGGTCCGCATTTTATAGTTAGGAATATTTATACCCAAGCCATAGAGGCTTCTGACCTCTTTGTTTAGCCCCTTGTGTATCAGATGTCGTTCTGGTGAACAAATAAATATAGACACATCAGGAGACTATTGGGCAGCAACTCCAGGTTCGCAGTTTAGTGTATTATGATACGTAATTCACATTTTTTAGTACGTAAAAATAAATTGCCTTGCCAAAAGTACTGTCATGTGATCAGTATAGGGGGGGTCCTAGTGATATCTTTTGAATGTACTGTAGCACCACCCTTAGCATGAATAGTTGCTGTTCTGAGGCATGTTCTCAACTAAGTTTCAAATTTCTGGTGTAATTAATTTTCATTTTTGTTTCTAAAGCTTGAAAGATGATTTTCTATGGAGTTAATTTGGGGGCTTTGAGTGTGTTTTTCCAACACGTGTTCGTTCGAAATATCTTTGTAGACATGGGAATTCAGAAGTTCGGACACTTTAGAGATGTGTTTTATGGAGAATCTAACCCATACTGTATAATGTCGATCACGATCCTTTATGGTTTACACGACACAGTCAAGATCCATATATTCGCAATTCTGCTCCCGACCCCATATTTGACCATTACTTTTAAACTACTTGCAGTAGTTCTCACTACTCCACAAAATTCGCGATCAATCGTTACACTCGGCAAAATGGTGCCGAACATTCTGGATGGTAATGTACCATGTGTATAATGCAGTTTTTTCAAAGTGTCCATATACGTGGAAATCACGCTACACAGACTGCTCAGTTGGGGCCCGTTCACATGTAGATGTAGCAAAGTCACTAAATTGGTTGCAGGACGATTTCCGGTACTTTTAAAGCAATACCAACCTGAATATTAAGTTCAGAAAGCACTTTCCACCAACCTGAACGTTTCATGCACACTATACCTTGCGTGTGACCGAGTATTGCGACTGTTTCAAGTATTGATTTTTTTTCAAATTCTGAATACTTATAATCTCTCCTTTTTCAAATTTCAGATGTTTGAGATTTTGCATACACTTTTCCAATACTGGTCTACCTATCTTGTGTGTCGAAATTTACACTCTTAAAGAGCATGTTTAGCCTCATGTTCAAGGGGCGACAGGATATTTTGGACAAGGTTATGTATATGCATTATTGATCACACTAGTTGTTTGCATTTTTAGGATGTTAAATTTTTTTCTTCCTTTTGTGCGAAATGCTTGAGGTTAATAAATTATTACTGTAGAATATTTCAGTAATTTCTTTGTTCTAACCATTCTTTCTTTACTGCTTAAAAATCAATTTTACTCAACAAACATAAAAAAATAAGTAATTTCTAAGTTATAAATCTCCTTTATAGAAGTAGCAATTAAAACGTATACTTTTATTACAGTATATCCTTTTGCGGGGAAATACAGAAAAGCGATATTTCAAACTACGTGTATGTATATATACACATATATATTGAAAAATTAATATTGCGTACGCGTAGTCATTAGTACTTTTATCGCACTAGCTCAATTGCCACTTTGTATAAATACCATAACAGTGTTTTTTGTTATTCTCCTGACATTTCTGTAATTATGAGGCGTGACCGTTTTCCTAAGTCTTTAATGACCAAAACTGAGCTTCATAATTAACACTGAGAAACGGTGTTAAAAAAGAAGAATAAAGCCTCTGAGATGTTAGTAATGTAAACGTCGTGATTACTTTGATTGACGTCATTCGTTATTAGGGACGGCCAATACTAAACTAGTCTTACATGTATGATTATGTTTTACACCTTGATACGTATAAACATATTTTTACTTTAGAAAATTTCTCGTAAACTATTATTCGTAAATACGTTTTTTTTTTGCTTTTTTTCAAAAGATTAATTATTTGTTACCTCCGCCACCCTATGTTTTCACCCTTGTGCGTGTGTTTGTGTTTGTCAGCAAGATTTCTCGAAAATGGCTGAATGGATTGAGACGAAAGTTGATATATATATTTGGAATATGACCCAATTATAGGTGATTAATATTTGGAGGATCAAGGTCATGAAAATCCAAAAAAATCCCTATCTGTTAACATGGGGACCGATTTTTCACACTATTTTTGCTCTATACCTCAGTCAAAAACGATCGGATTTTGATGAAACTTGGTAGACATATGTAGATTATTATTCGTCATTTTCCTGCCAAAAATGGTTCGTGTTCGTTGAAAACGATGGACATACGAACACACGTTCATATTTTTTGAGGGCCGAATATGATCAACATTGCGTGGCGGAGGTATGCACCTTACTTAGTAGCCCCCAGTTATATATATATATTTGGCAACAGATGAAATGGACCTTTCTATATATTGTTTTTCAGAATCAACTCGAGTAAAAAAATCACGTTTATGGACAAGCGTGACTTGATGATTTGCGTGTATGCTGGAATTGCGGAACAGGATGTCCAAGGTTCGAACCGTGATATGATGCAAAACACGCTCCCCACTTTCAATTGTGTGGACGTTACAAACCTCGCAGTCAGTGTATAAGGGACTAGCGCTGCTAACTTTGTCTTCCTCCTAGCTATAAATTTCAAATTAGGGATAGCTCTGCCTACACCTAGAGGCCTTTGGTGTGGTCGTTTAGCTCATACGTCGCTTGAGGTTCCTATCAGGTACAGAACACTGCTACTAAAACTACATTTAACTAACTACAGGGAGGTGGGAAAATATTTTTCAATTCATAAATTGGATGTGTGTTCAGAATGGTGTTTGGTTTGTTTTGAATTTCGCGAAAAGCTACACGAGGGCTACTGCACTAGCCGTCCCTAATTTAACAGTGTAAGACTAGAGGGAAGGCAGCTAGTCATCACCACCCACCGCCAACTCTTGGGCTACTCTTTTACCAACGAATAGTGGGATTGACCGTCACATTTATAACGCCCCCACGGCTGAAAGGGCGAGCATGTCTGGTGTGACGGGGATTCGAACACGCGACCCTCAGATTGCGAGTCAAGCGCCGTAACCACCTGGCCATGCTGGGCCCAAAATGGTATTCAATCATTTTCCTACACGAGTTTCTTTTTATTAGAAAAAAGAAACTTGAATTAGGATTTAATCTACAATGATAGAAATGTTTCTTTTCTAATATACGCTCACAGACAGAATCGACTTCCTCAGTTTCTAGGTATTTCCAATATGAAATTTATGGATATAATAATCTAACAATGTTGATATTAACATGGAAAGAAAATTGATTTCTAAAGAGTTCTGTTTTATCTATTTTACTGCTGTATGGAAGATAAATTGACAAGGGAATATAACATCAAAATGGCTCGTAATGAAAGTGTAGACTGTTGTTGTTAGAAGGAAAATATTGGTGTCGCCTAGGAGACGTATGTTTTTCATCTCTGTATTGTAAATGTTCTTAAAGATTGCAGAAAATGTGTGTTCTTCATATTCATTTTAATACAATTATTTTCAAAATTTTTATTTTGGTCTGATACTACGCAATTTTTGCATAACACGCGACACAAAAAATCGATAAGTTGACTTCCTTCTAACTGCTTCTCATCCTTTGGAGCTGTGGTTTTAGTATGAGTATCATTTAACAAAACAAAATAACCGCATAAAATACACTATAATGTTGATATTAAACCTGTTCTCTGAGCAAAGTTCTGTAATGTTCGTCTAATGGTTAACACGCCAGAAGTTCCTTAGTTTAAGCCCTGAAAAAATAAAGCAAAGTTTTGTAATGTTCGTCTAATGGTTAACACGCCAGAAGTTCTTTGGTTCACGCCCTGAAAAATAAAGAAAAAAAATCTTGCCCCGCACAATGGGGCCGTGGTTCTTTATAATGACGGGCAAATCCCACTGTTCGATTGGAGTAGACCACGAGATGCTGCTCCAGTCTATCGCCTCAAAATTAGGGACGGCTAGCACACGTAGCCCTCATGTAGCTTTGCGCAAAATTCATCAAATATCCTTCGTCAGCTTTAGCCTCAGGTAAGATTCAGCCATTATTCTGCTTCTATATTTCTACTTCAGGGCTGTAAGTGATGAGAATTCCATCTCCTACAGGTACGAAATTAGCAAATGGCAGCAGAAAACTAATTGCTTTGCACTTCTCTGAATCCAAACCTTTAATAGTGGATTTTTTTTAAAACTCCGACTTTAATGTTTCCTCGCAAGAAAG